TTCCCTACAGTTTCTAGACTTCTGTTTCTTTTGATGATTTTTGTCATTTGTTCCAACTCAAATAAATCTCAAGCTACCTCACATGCCAAAATATTTCTTCAGTTTAAATTGTTGTACACCATTTTATTAGTATATTGTGTCATCAATATTTTCATGGATCTAAAACAAATGTGCACAGTATGTGAGCAATGCAAAGTCAGAAATATAACATGTGATTGTGCTTCAGGTACCCTGTTGGTTTTCCTCTGAAAAGCCTGGTAAACCAATGCTGCCCCCTGTCTAAAGAAGACATGTCCATCTGTTTGTTGCAAGAGGTGAGTAAAGAGGAAGACAGTTGATACAAAGTCTAGTAAGACGCAGTTTGGTGTGGTAATATTTTAAATGTAATATTTGCTAATGAAAATTTATAAAGCATTAACTCAAAATTCATTATTTTTTATGCTATTTCTCATTTGCTTGGCCTTGTTCTCTCCATGACATCAGCTTGACAGCATGTGTTCATCAAAGAGGACTTCTCTTTCATTTGTCCGCCGCTGTTGCCATGGAGTACAACCGACTTTTCAGTGTGCCTCCAGAATTCTCATGGATGCCATCACCAAAGCAACCAAAGTTTTAAACCAGAAGAAAATGTGCCCAGTCTCCTAAACCCTTATGGCCACTGGGCCATTCAGGGAGATGGCAAGCTAGTAACAGAGGGGCCTCCAGTCAATGAACAGGAGCAATTAGTGAAAATTAGAGATCTGTAAGCTGAAAAAATATTCCAAATGTAGACCAAATACTTGCGTCATCGACTGTCATAAGATTACATAAGCAGTGGAATCATGAGTACATCTACAAATGAACAGGTATACATGTTAGACTTTTTTTTTTTTTTAAGAACAGACTTGCCTTTGTTATTGTTCTGCCATTTTATATATTGTGCTTTTTACATTTGATTATGCTTGCAGTTTTTTGATTCTTTTGACATTGCAAGATTGGTTCTCTTCTTTTGTATGATTTTATGGTTAAGATCCTATTGACAACAGTAATAAAATCTAAATAAGCTGTTAGAAACGTAAATACTTCTTGTGTGGTTTGATAAGGAATGCAGTGAAAGTTGGCTAAAGAAAGCACCCAGTTTTACACAAAATAAGCAATTTGACTTTAAATAATGTATGGTTTATTATTTCATAGAACAAGTGGTTTACTTTAGTTTTTATATGTATTTCAAATGTGCCACTCCTCTTTGAGTCTGTGCCCCAGCCTGGCCACCCTGCCCAAAGGTTTTTAGATACACCCCTGTCAATGAGGATGTATTGATTTACTAACAGTAATGACCTTACCTGCAAGGTCATTACTGTTAGTTTAACCTCAGTTTGTTAGTACTGAAAATTTAATTTGAAATAGAGTAACATTACTTCTAAATAGCATGTAGCACAGTCAAGTTGTCTGCACTCAAAGTAACATTTATATGTTTTATAACAATATTGATGAGGAAATAGGTGTAACATATATCCCAACATTATTTATTGTATCCTGAATAAAACAAATATAGAAAACATACATAGAGACGGTAAGAAATTAGGGTAAATAAATGAAAAGCAAAAAGACTGGGGATGTCATGCAGCCAAGAATGAATCTAGTCAGGTCACCATTACAATCCCTTATTCAGCTAAATACAGTATATCATGCATTCTTGTAGTTTTTCTGTTTTCTGAGTCTGTGACAGAAGTGACACATTTCAAACACCTTCAAATTGGACTGACATATTTGATACAAATAAGAGGATACAGTGACGTATGTTCAGCCATATGTTTGCTTTGGGAACAGTTTTTTAAAAGTGTCAAAATACTCAGGGAAAAGAAAAAATGGGGGTATCATGTTTTACAGCCTAGAAAGAACAAAAATGTTGTTTTATCTGCAAAAAAGTATGTGGAGCAGCAGAGTCAGTCCTGAGGGGCTGAACAAGAAAATGTTGGATGGGATGGTCAGACTGGGGCAAAGACTCGGAGAGGAGTGGCATCTTCCACATACATGTAAAAACTAAATTAGGCCCCTAATTCTGTGAGATAATGAACCATACACTATCAAGAATCAAACTATTTATTTTGTGTAAAAATGAGACACACCTAGTGTTTTCTTTAGCTCCTTATTTACAAATGAATCATGCTAAGTACTCCACAATGAAACAATTGGAGAAATTAATGGAAATATTATGCTACATGCACGATATATAATAAAAGTAATTTGACCAATATTAATTATAAAGCACCAGAAAATTGTCATTCATTAATACTGATAGGCATTACATTTTGACTCTGGCAGGGGTGGCCAATCAGATTTAGGGAGTGGCCAGTGCCACTCCTGGCCACCACCTGGCTCCACACATGATAATTGAGAGCAAAAATTATGATCACCAAGGCAGAAATTGTACATGGCCTATGAGTACTTGTAGAAACCTTTTTTTTTAACTCTCTGCATTTCACACAACCTAGAAAACTGGAGATCAAGAAACATCGCAATAAATATCAATCAGTAGAGGGCAACAATATGTCATTACAGCGACTAGTGTGCGTATCTAAGGAAGACGTTTAGCTGATTTCCCCTTCAGTACGCTGGGGGCGCTGTTGTGCTGCTGCCACATGAACATCAGAAATCAACAGTCTTTTTTTTTTCAACAACTTTATTCATCACGAAGAATACAGTACTGTCATCCAAAGATACAAATATAAAACAGTGTATTCAAAATACATTCACCGAACCAGAATAGAAACAAATAAAAGAAAGACAAAGAACTCAAAAAAAGATAAGGGGGGGGTTATAATCTAACCAGAAATTTTAAATAAAGTGCATAAATTAATTGTTTTGATGGCCTTTGCATTATCAGAAAAAATATTGAAGAAATGTATTGTTTGAACTCTTTTAAAAAGACCAAAAATACTCTTTGCGAATTTACATTTGTGAATATGAAATTTAGCAAATCAAATTAGCAAGTTACAAACATATACATGAGATGAGAATCGTGTTTTTAAGCAACCAAACAGAACATTCTTCCAGTACAGATTAAAATCCTTATCAATATTTATATGTATAAAGTCACAAAAGTCAGACCAAAATATTTTTTATAAAACAACGATACCAAAATAAATGAACAGCAGTCTCAGGGTCAGAAATCAATAGTCGGTGCTGTCTGCGATATGAGCAGTGACATCGTAATGGCGACTGCTGGAACAGCAGACCAGGGATCAACAGTCCCGACAGGTATCTAGTTAGTAAATCGCCCTCCTCTGTTTTAATGAAATTAACATGCAAATATGTCGATGTAACATTTTGTAGCAATGAAAATGGCGTATTGTGGTGACTATGGCTTTATTGTGCCTGGTAGCTAGCTAGCATCGAGACGTTAAATCTAACGAATAAACCAAGCGGTGGCTAACATTAGGTTAGCTGCCTTGTTAATATGCTTTGGTTGTTAATTACACGAAGCTTTAGTTAGCAGTCCACCAGTAACATTATTAAAACAGAACTATCTAATGATGCTAATAATTGATATTTCGCCTTTCCACGTTGGCAAAACGTGTGTTTTGTTATCAAGCCGGTAATTTCGTTAACGTTATGCTAAAGAGCTAATGTTAGCTGTATGAAAGGATGAGGTTTAGTAAATATCAGTCACTTGCTGAGGAAGTGAATGTTCTTAGGCTATTGTTTTAATGGTCTGTTTATCCATGGGAAGTGTTAGGTATTTTTAGTCAAATAGATATTAGATAGATACTTTATGTATTAGACATGTTTAGTGGAGATAGGGTGTCTAGTTAGACTGTTAAATGCTTAGGCATGCTTATGAGTTTCTACAGGGTACATCTGGTCAAGGATAACTAGAGAGAAGAGTTGATGACTGTCAGCAGACAGGGTGTTTAATATTATTATTATGACGTGTATAACTGTAGCTTTAGCCATAATATGTTCTTATGTTTAAGTCACGACATGTTACTAGAGGTCGTGAGAATGTTTTTAGCTACACACCACTTAATCAACAGACACACACACATTGATTTGCTTCACGTTTTGACTACTGCTATGACCAGCTGCAAAGCTGGTAACAGAGACGTCTCGGTTGACGTTTCTGTGTAGTATGGGGCTAGCCCAACTGAGGGGATATAATGTATAGGCCTGGTGGGTTCAGGGGCTTTCATCTTACATCTGCCTGCGAGCAGTTTGGAGGTGCAAGATACCTGAGCGTGTAATGTTAATTTTACCTGTGATCCTTGGAATAAATCAGCACTGTTTTGAAGTTACTTGGACTGCCTCGTCTCTCAGAGTTAGCATGGTAACAAGAACCAAAGACCAACAGAAGTTAGCGGTGGCTACTCCGTTCTTTTGTCTCCTTAGATTTTACACCCTCCTCTTCCTTATTCTTTTAAGTACGTAAAGTTTGCAAATAAATTCACTTTACATTTATTCACTTACCAGTGTTTCCAAGTTGACGTGATGATCCTACTGATTTCTTACATAATTTTAAACAGTGACACAGTCATGCTTAATTTATGAAAATACTTCATTCATTCTGCTCGTGAACTCTGTATAGTATCTCTAATATCAGATCTGTGCATGATGAATTGCTAATGCTCTTCCTCTTTTCATTGTCCACACTGAAACAGTACAGGGTGGTCCTGGGCAGTTCAGAGGTTTCTTTTTTTTATTGAGGATGGGACAGATGATGAGAACACTGCAGCTCATTGATCTGTTTAGTTGTGTGTCACTTGTCAGTTTCCCTGTGCATAGAGGAGCTGCTCTTCCCTTGGTAGCCACCCAGTCTTAATCAGTGAATAAAAATAGTGGCTTCAAAACACTCTCCTGGCTACAACATGGCAGAGTGCCCCAGACTACAAATACAAGATATAGAATTCTGTCAAACACACACACACTCTTTGACACTTGAGTGACGGCAACATAATGTAGTTTCCCTTCTGGTTGTTATTGGCCTTGTTTCATAATTGGGCTAAGGACCAGTATATTTATGGCCTCTTCATAGGCAGAAAATGATGTGAGGAGAGTGTGCATGTCCCATATTGTTGCCTTGTGCAGGCTGCAGGCTACATGTTTACAAGGCTGGCAGGGAGTTGTTTATTACTCCAAGAGGAACAGATGGTTTACCTGCTGTCCATTGACAAGCTAAAGTCATTAAGTAATTGGTAATTAATCTAATTCCTACCCCAAATCTGCTGGGCACTCTTATTATGTAGTTCTATACTAGCCCCAGCTTGTGACACTCATTTATTGCATATACTGAAGTCACAGAGATAATCTTCTGTGAGCTTTCGGAATTGAAACTTGCTGAATGTTTTAACCCTATACCGTTGTTTCGTCATGGTTTCTTTTCAGTTAAGCAAAGCTGGCAACAGCAAATTATGTCTCCTCTGGCACTTTTTTTTTGTGGAAGTTGAGCATGAATATATTATTCAAACCTTATATTATTCTGTTATTGAAAATTAAGTGAAATTGGTATTGAAATTGTTAAAAACATTCATGACATTGGGCCATTTTCATACAAAGCCAGTGTTAAGACGTCATTTCCTGTCGCCACCTTTGTTTAACTGAAAAGAAACTATGACCTGAGAAACAGATTAAAATGATTTTTTTTTTTCTGGACTGGATCAGATTATTTTTGATAACACATCATTATAAGAGTCTGAGGATTTGGGAAATACCTTCATAATTTGGTTGTGTGTTATGAAATGACAGTACTAGGTTAAAACATTCAGCGTCTCAGTTCCATATGAAATATTGTAAGTGAGGTTCTCAAAGCTAGTTCTATACTGACTTTTGAGAAAAATGGCAGTGTGATAAAACTAGGACTGACAATTATTTTTCTGAATAATAAGTTAACTATTTTGTTTATAAAATGGCAGAAAATATTAAGAAATTACAATTGAACTTTTTCAGAACCCAAGTCATTGTCTTAAAATTGTTTTATGTGACAATGGGTCCAAAAACTAAAGCTTCCCTAATTCAAAAGCAGAAAATCTATAAATTTAAGCAGCTATAACCAGAAAACTGCATTTGATTGTCAAAATAGTTGTTAATTTGTTTTCTAGTTGAAATGCTTTTGTTTCAACACAAGATAGAACACATTTTCTTCTGCCTATGTACAGTCACGCTTTATCTCTTAGACATGAATGACAGAACCATCACACACCTTGCCCTGGCAATAACAAATGACACCATGAATCCATACTTCACAGTATTGCCATCTGGTTGAAGATGCTGAACTTTAAAATGGAGAAGAGCATCTGCTATTACAAACAACAGACTGCATCCTTGAGAATGCTGTAAAGATCTGGTCCCGTTTGTGTGTGTGTGTGTGTGTGTGTGTGTGTGTGTGTGTATGTACAAGTTTGGGTCCTGGTTAGGGACATGACTGTTTGGTGTCTATGCTGTGTGAATATTTGTATGTATTTGAATTGTCCTGCTCCACAGATATTAGGACTCAGTTTTGGAGGAGAGCATTACAGCGAGGTACTCGCATGGATGTGCGTTAGTGTTTCAGTATGCCTGAGCACAACCCGCATGAGTAGTGACGATGGTGTGCTGTTTTGCATAATGAAAGGGAATGTGGGCAAAACGATGCTCACTGTTTCCTGGTGGATTGCACTGTGTCCCTGTTAACTGAGAAGAGATGCATGGCATTTAGTGATCCTGCTGTATTATTAACACTCCCACCTTTTCTTAGGTTGAAGTGTACACTTACTATGCATTGCCTGGATTGAACCTGCTGAGTGTAGATTTACATACCACAGGATTGTATTACAGGTGTTTACACTTATTAACATCTTTTTGTATGTTTATTGGCACTGCAGCATTGAAGTAGATGTTGCCACTGGTTACAGGCTAGAGGTGCTTGCAGAGTGGGTGAGGTAGTAGGTTTAAACAGCAGGTTTATCTAAGGACAGAGGAACTCACATTGAGCATTTCTTTTAATTCAGTTATGTGCTTTCCTTAAAAAACTACTATGTGCTGTTTTTGTTATTATGTTTACTTAGGAACATACAATCGACCCATGTGTCTGGGTCATGATTTATAGTTTTACTTCCTATCTTTGGTTATCAAGCAGACAAGTTTTACACACATTCAGAGGTCATTGCATGGTGATGGTATTATGTATTCATAATGTTAGCATATTGAAGCCAATTATAATGATGACAACATTACTGAGTCACAAAGTAGGCTGTGACAGAGGGACCACTTGAATCTGGAGCATCCAGCTCCGGGGAGAAGTAGTTCCACTTCACAGAGAGTTGGTTGTATCTGGGGCAGTGGCTAGTAACTGTGGCCACATATAGTCATCAGCCAGTGCTGGAAATAGGCCTACTAATTAAGCAGCGGAGGGTTTCTGAAGTAGTCATTAAAAAATTCTTTCATGTTAAAAGCTGCCAACTCAAAGATTTCAAAAATAATTTCAAGCATCAAATTTACACTGACTGCATAGTTTGGCTTGCATACAGGTTTCATGGAGTTGAGTTTTTCAGTAGTCGGTGTCTTTGTCACACTGTGAAAAAGTAACTTGTTCTTCTATTTTCAGGCACCAGCAGCATCCGAAAAATGGCTCCTTCAGAGGTAAGAATATCAGACATTGCATTACGTGAATTGATAAAACACCTCTGTCGATGTAGTCAATTGTGAAGCGTGACGGAGAACAGGTTTTGAAAGTTCAAGCCTGCATTCATGCAGACATCAGCATCTTGAGAGGGCCAGTCACTGAAAGTTCATGAAAGTAAAAGATTAGCTTTTGTTATATAGGTGATAATGGAATAAATGCCTGAAAAAACATGTGGACCAAAATGTTGTTACTGCAACCTGTTTAGCCAAAGTAGTTGTTGATCAAAATAATGCAACAGAAAATCTGAAGGATAACAGAAAATATGAGAATATTTGTAGAAGGGATGAGAGATTTTCAGAGAACTAATTAATGTAAATGATAAATGACTTATTTAAATGAAGTTTCTTACTAAAGTAAAGTGGACATAAAAGTATCTGTCATGCAAAGATAAAGCCAGACCAACTGACATTTCTTTGGCTCCCTCCCCCCCTCAAATTGACCTTTGTGAGAGGTCAGCAACTTGTCAGCCAGGTTGAAAAGATTGTCATGTGATGATGTTTACCCAATGTGGCTTAAAGTTTACATAAAAGTAGCTCTTTGTCTTCTGTGTTCACAAGCAGAAACAGACATCACTTTATGTTTTTAATGTTTTCTCTTGGTCTTTTCAAGATGCCTGGCTCTTCAGGCACAACTCAGAGTATGAAGAAGACCATTGGGCACCGGGGCGTTGAGACCACCACAGGAGAAACCACCTATAAAAAGGTTAGTACAGTGAGGGGGGTCAGTGACATTGGTTTATTGACACCCAAATATTGAGCAGCAGCGGTGAAAAGAAGCTGGTATTTAGATTCTAAAATTAGTTTGGGAATTCCTCTCACTTGATGCCTAAAAATAGTAAATGAAAACGCAGAAGTCACAGACTGGTGACTGGTGCTTATTCTTTGTTTTGCTCTGACCTCTCTAGACCACATCATCTGCCTTAAAAGGTGCAATCCAATTGGGCATCGCTCACACGGTTGGCAGTTTAAGCCAGAAGGCGGAGAGGGATGTTCTCATGCAGGACTTTGTGGTGGTTGAAAGCATCTTCTTCCCCGGGTTAGTAGCAGAATTTGTTGTTGAATAAACATAGTACATTTTTATTTTTTGATGTCATGTAGTTTAATGGGCTTTCTGTTTCTTGCTCTCTCATATATTTTCAGTGAAGGAAGTAACCTGACTCCTGCTCACCACTACAGTGACTTTCGTTTTAAGACCTATGCTCCTATTGCCTTTCGTTACTTCAGAGAACTGTTTGGCATTCGGCCTGATGACTACCTGGTTAGTGCTTATAAAAAACACACACTGCCATGTCAGCATTTTGAATTTTGTGCTTTTACCAACTAGAAATGCCAACAAAGTAAATGTGCAATATCAGAAGGCCATGTGTTCCTGTCAAATGTTGGTGGAATTATACAAATATTGTATGCACTCGTAAAAAACTGAATATTTTTGTTAGTTTTTATGTTAATTTATTTTAGCACCCTTTCCACAACCTCCTCAGAATCCTCTGGCTAGATCTGACACCACTGCTTTAATAAAATTAGAATTGTGGCTCTACCAACATATTTGCTCCATTTTGACTGTGTATTAATGCACACTCCTCTTTCTTTTTAAGTATTCTCTGTGCAATGAGCCGTTAATCGAGCTGTCCAACCCTGGAGCTAGTGGATCTCTCTTCTACGTCTCCAGTGATGATGAATTCATCATTAAAACTGTTCAACACAAAGAGGCTGAGTTCCTCCAGAAACTCCTGCCTGGATACTTCATGGTGAGCCTGGATAGCATGGACGATGGGAGTACGCTCAGTATGAGTGATTATTATAGCAGCATCTATAATTATCATGAGAGTAGGAGGCGAAACTGAGTAGGACCTTTAATAATTTCTTTCCAATTTAAATGTGTCAAATATCTAATTAGTTTTCTATATCCCTCCTCCCTTCCAGAATATAAACCAAAACAAGCGCACCCTGCTGCCCAAGTTCTACGGGCTGTACTGCGTTCAGGCAGGAGGCAAGAATATCCGTATTGTTGTGATGAACAATCTTCTGCCTCGAATCATCCCCATGCACCTCAAATACGACCTGAAGGGCTCTACCTATAAGAGACGAGCTTCCCCTAAGGAGAGAGAAAAGGCTGTTCCCATTTACAAAGACCTGGACTTTATCCAGGACTTGCCTGACGGTCTGCTGCTGGAATCCGACAACTACAATGCCCTGTCCAAGACCATACAGAGGGACTGCTTGGTGAGTCACAAAAGCTGTTTTCACACATGATCTCCAGATTGTGTCTGTACAATCAGGCCTGGATTTTGTCAAGAGTTGCCGTTTCACACATGTAGCACACAACAGGAGATGGTCTGTGTCAGACAAGTTCTCACCTACTGGAAATACTCCATTTGGTTTATGTGCCAGGGGCACGCCTGGGTAGAGTGTGCAGGAGGTGGGATATGTTTGTCTGACAATTCTGGTGCTGTCGTGTCTCCAGTGGGATATTTTTGTTGTTCTTTGTTGTAACTGACAGTTTTTCTTTATCATCAGATGTTTGTGTTCCTCTGGTTTTGTTCTGGTCACATGATATAACATTATCAACATGCCCACAAGCTCCATGTGAATACTCTGGACTATATGCTGCTGTATTCTTTAGGGATGGGCATTTCAAGCTAAAATGCCATTCAGTATTCACTGGGAACTATTCGACAACTAATCAAATGGGCTCACTTGGACCTTACGCAGACTTTGTACTAGAGAGCCACTTAAGGTCTGGGTTGACTGACTCGGACATTTGTGTTCTCACATATAGCTCCCCTAGTTAATGTCTAGAGAATTTCAGGGTCCCAGTGCATGTCTGAAGAGGGCTAAAGACCCTTGTCTGATTTTTGACTGACTGATTTTTATTCAACTACTGAGCACCCAAGCCTCTCAGCGCACATGGAATTACGATGTTTGTTGCTTCACGGTGAGCTCTGCAACTTCTTGCAGTTTTGAAAACAGGAGTCTATTGTTGAAGAAATGACTCGAGCTCACATGACACTGCAAACTAATGCTTTATTTACTTTGAGGGATAATACTTGTTGGAGTGATATTTATAGGCTGGTGCCATTGCACTTAACACAGGATGTCAATATGTTAAGTATAATTTTTATTGGCCTAGGGAAAGTCAAACAAATTGTAGGACAGAGGCCGCATGTCTATTGTTGACCAAAATATGTAGGGCTGGACCCAGTAATTCAGCTATTCGGATATTCATTTGTTGGGTAGGTAATCAGTTTTCAATTTTAGTATTTGAATATTTAAGACAGCAGGAAATGTCAATGTAGCCTAAATCCAATGTTGAAAAGGAAAGAGAACATGACGGCAACAGTTTGGTCCGCTTGTACTCACATCTCTGAAAACTTTGGAAATCTCCAGACAAGGATATGCATTATTCGGATAGGTGACCAGATCTTCTAAATCTAAATGGTGACTTTCTTGTCTTAAAAAATATAAAATCTTAATAAAGTAGCATAAGACCAATCCTAGGATGAAATATTCAGATTCAAAGTTCCCAGTTGAATAAATCATAAGCAAAATGTTGTTAACACAAATGGCACCTCTTTACTGTAGTAAGGCACACAGATGGATTTTGGTGACACTAGGTGACCCTAAGAGGAAATAACCATCCATTATCTATACCGCTTATTCCTGAATAGGGTCATGGGGGGGCTTGAGCCAATCCCAGTTGACATTGCACGAGAGGCGGGGTACACTCTGGACAGGTCGCCAGTCTGTCACAGGGCAGACATGTAGATAAACAACCACACACCCGCACTCACTCCTGCTGGCAATTTAGAGTAACCAATCAATCCAAGCTGCATGTCTTTGGACTGTGGGGAGAAGCCGGAGTACCTGGAGAGAACCCAGGCAGGCACAGGGAGAACATGCAAACTCCACAGAGAAAGGCTGGAGGTTGGCTGGGGCTCGAACCCAGAATAGTTTTGTAGTATTTCTTTTTGGTGTTGCACTTTGTAGACTGTCCTTGTGCCCTCGTCTTTTTCGTTGTTTTGGGTATGTCTGAATGAAGCCCTGAGGACCATGAGGTAAAAGTGCCCCATGTGTGAATTACAGAAAGCTGTGGCTTTAACAGACTGATGAAACAGCAGTGTTATGTTATCTCATGTCTGTAAGGGCTGTACTGTATAAACACGATCTGTACTTTATAACAGCACGGTCTTGGCTGAGAACAGAGATGTAAGTGATCAACCACCCACCTGTCTGCCATCTCCCCAATCAGCATATTTAAATGCTATATGCATCTCTTTTTAAAGGTGCATTAACTAAAATTTTACACATGACACTCTGACTACGGCTCTTGTATTATTTAGTCCGTAAATCAGCCCCTCCTGCGATGGTCATAAGAACCATTCAGCCCGAAGCCTGTTTGGGGGATTTAAATCTACGGCGCCTCCCTGAAATAAAATGTGTATATCTCCGCAACCACACGGTGTATTTGGTTACTCTTGGTGTCAAACGAAAGGGAACACTTGTGAGATTTGTCAGGAGGTGTAAATACCATTTGATGTTTTGTTTTTGAAGAGTAAATAAAGATGGAACACGGCACAGAAATTTCGCTGTACTTTTCGCGAATTGAAAATTGTTGAAGTTTGTTGGCTTGTATCTCTGTAATGCTTTTACTGAGCATTTTTTACATTTGACATTTATGGAATCTGTGCAGTGTGGGCTTTGTTTTGAGCCATGGCTAGCAGTGTTTTGATGGATTATAGTCGGTAAAATAGTACAAAATATGAATCGTATGCCTGGCAGAACGCCCCCTAGTGGACCTGAGATGTTGCTTTATTGCTTTTGCTGTGTTTATTGTGTGGAAAAATGGTTTATATAACGTTGTAGCCGAGGTTTCGTTGAACATTTTGATGTATACATTGTTGGGGGTCGCCTATCACAACTCGCGTAGCATTCTTGTATTTTCCGTTCAGCCCCAGGGTCCCCTTTGAAGGGGACCTTCGGTTAAACCCTCTAGCGCCCTCTAGCGCTTTATTGTTGGTCATCATACTGATGTGCTTTTTAGGTATAACTTTAAGGTTTAAAAAAAAAAATCTTAATTCAATTTTTGAAAAACATTTTAACCCTGTAAAGCCTGACTCATCAAAAAATAGCCAGAACATTCTCATTTTTCAGAACTGAGATGTTTATTAAACCTTTTAACAAAATCCAAAATATAATTCATGATTTTTATTTGCCATATAAGCATAGACAGACAGTCCAGGCATATAGGAATAGAGGTGCCATATTATTTCTATTTTTTTTGTATCACATTTGATACATGGGGCATTTTGGGCGATTTTTTTTTTTTGCTCAGGAACCTCACGTATCAAATATGATACAAATGGTTTTATAGGGTTAAGTAATGGCCCTTGTTAACAAAACATGGACTAAATGAAGTGGCATCCAGTTTCATGCGTTGTTACATGTCTGTCATGCTAAATATTGTCAGTATTTTTTGTGTAAAGGTTTGTTTGAGTTTTTCTACAGCTGTAAGTTTAAAGCCATCTTTCACTTCCATGTTCTGGCACTGTCCACAAACAGCGGGCAAATCAAAGAAAGATAAATACTCAAAAAGAACCTCAACAAATGTGTTGTTATGGCAGTCATTAAATAATTAAGTCAAGAACACAAGACAAGAGCACTTCCTACTTATAATCTTACTATCAATGTATGTAGACATAACGTCCTTGTGTACAGAACACTATGGCCTTGCATTTGCTCTGTCATACCCATAACAGAGGTGCCAGCTAGACAGCAACAGTGTTAACAATAGTTTAACCAATATCAAACATGAAAAGCATGTTTTGGTTAACATTACACTTGATTTATAGATGATTCATAATTGATTGCTTATAATTTCCACTATTTCCTCCACAGTGTCAATTCGTTCATTGTATTTGTATGTTTTATGTAGCTTTTACAGAGTTTCAAGATCATGGATTACAGTCTGTTGATGGGCATCCACAACATGGACCAGGCCATTCGAGAGCGGGAGCGTGGTGGGGGTAATTCAGGTGACAGCGCAGGTTCAGAGGGAGCTGTGACACCAGATCAGCGCCGGCCGCAGGCCCAAAGAAGTCTGTACTGTACAGCTATGGAGTCTATCCAGGGGGAGGCCCAGGGGAAGGGAGCTTTGGATTCAGATGACCAGTGAGTCTTGCTGGTTAGCTGCCTACAAGCAGAGCTGAATTTGAATTGCAGTGTTTGTTTGTAGTGTAATCTGTGACTATGATCTGGCAGTTAAATCATCTGCTGTTGCTCTGGCCTTGTCCTTCCAGCATGGGTGGTATTCCAGCTCGTAATGTTAAAGGAGAGAGGCTGCTGATCTACATCGGCATCATCGACATTCTCCAGTCTTACAGGTTGGTGTTTCAAAGCACCTAGATCAGTTCCTTGTAGAAACACTTCTGAATTCATGAGTAAACTTTCCACATTACCCATTTACTGTATATAATTTCATCACGTCTTACTATTTAGGTTTATTAAGAAGTTAGAGCACTCATGGAAGGCTTTGGTCCATGATGGGGTAAGAGCCTACACACTCTTCTATGGAAGATGAAGGATAAGGATAATCTTTATTTGGCCAAGTATGTTACACACACACACAAGGAATTTGTTTCCGGTACCCTGTAAAGAAGAAGAAACTAGTAAGCAGTGAAACTCAGCAAAGCGGCTCAGAGTAGAGAGATTTAATGGATATAAATCGTGTTGGTATGAAAACTAAATTGTCAAGATTATACACAAGCTGAAAAAAGTAGCACTTAGTACTGTTTTGCTTGAACATCTTAATGTCAATCATATTCTAATGGCTATTTTACTGTTTTAGGACACTGTTTCGGTTCACAGACCTGGCTTCTATGCAGAGCGTTTCCAGCAATTCATGTGCAACACGGTGTTCAAGAAAATTCCACGTAAGTCTACGCATGTGTGATTCTATAAAACTCAGTAAAGATATTCTAATGCATTGAAATCATGGAAATCCCAGGTGTTGATCATTTCAGCTTTCACATATTCTGTCTTCAGTAAAACCATCACCATCTAAGAAGAGTCGTGGTGGAGGTCAGGGAGGGCTCAGGAGGGCCCCCACCCTAGGAGCACCCACTCCGCTCTCCCACGCAACAGGACAGTCATCTGTTGACCCCAGAGTCTACCACAGCCACATTAAAAGCACTGAGTCAGATGCTGACAGTGGTAAGAACTGAGGCATTGCAAGCAATGTGTAATTGTATCCGTGGCCCTATTTTACCCATGACTGTGCTCAAATACTGGTGAAATTCGCTCTTGTTCTCAGGCGTGCAGTTGGGCAGACCAGATCTTGTTCCGAGGACCCCTCCACTATTAGACAACCCTGCCGACTGTGAGGCTAACCTGTCCACCTCATCACTAGGCAGCACAGGAGTTGCCCCCACCTCTCCTCCCATACGGTAGAGATAATAATACATGACCATTGTTCTTCCATTCCACTTTGACCCAATTTTAATTTTCCTCTCGTACTGCTCTCTGCAGGTCAGTAGGAGTGGAGGTGCACAAATCTGCAAACACAGACCATGACCAGGGTGCTTCCCACAGGTACACACGACAGTGACAGGCCATAAAATAATACCTTCATCAGACTGTAATAAAGATGTATTTTTATCACTTGTGTTTGTTCCTATGCTTCATTAATCACCTTTTCTGTCTGCCAGTTTGGGGGCAGAAGGGGCTCCAGATAATTCTGGCAACCTGTCTGGAAACGAAGACGTAGTTTCACTATCAGACATCGTCCCCGAGACCAACATTTGTTTTGTAAGTCTTAATGTTGAAACTGTACATTGGCATATTTGTGTTAGAAGCTTTTAGAGCCTTAGTAACCTTTGGATTGCTTTTATCTCCACAGTAAAAAAAAAAATTTTGAAAGGACCTGTGCCATTTAAAGATGAGGTGTTTTGTGGATCAGGTGAGGTGGATGGAAATGAGGTTAAAGAGTCACCCATCCACTGCGGGTCCTCTGTTGCACCTCTGTTGTGTTCTCATCCGTTCAGTATACACAAGGATCACTGGATAAAGCAGCGAGGTGCAGGGGAGGTTGTGGCAATGAGAGCGGCGGTGATGGGAAGATAAAAGAGAAGACGGTGTGTGGTGGGCTTTCCCAGGCATCAGCTCTATCACTGTGCACACATCCACACCTGTCTCAAAGCCCCGCTGTCTTTCCTAAACACCTGGAAAAAAAGTGTAGGCCCCTCAGCTGGCAGCTCTTTAGTTGGCCCAGCAGTATTACATTGTTTAAACAAAACTGTCTTTCATTTTCATAAAGTGTCTGTCTGCTGCAATGTCATAATAAGCAAAATAATTAGTTGTATATTGTAAAAGGCCCAGTCACCAGCGGATGGTGAAGGCAGTCAGATTCTCCATGAAGAGTTAGTTGTCGTGCCCACTTTT